GTACACTTGCCTTTGTCCAGACTCCAATTCTCCGCCCCTTGGTGCCACGCCCGGATCTCTCAGTCTCTCTCATTGGAGCATTTCCGTCCTGCCATGAGCTGCGGAACTGAATACTCGGTGCCAAGGCTTGCCCGGGCAGGTCTGGCTGCTGGGAGCCAGAGTGGCCTGGGTAGCATTCCAGAATGTACTGGAAGGGTTTTTGTTTGTTTGTTCTCTTTAGTTTAGCAGTTCTGTAGTGGTTCAGCCCCCTCTTTCTAAAAACACAATGACAAGTTAAAAAGAAAACAAGGGTTTATTTCCATTGTCTTTACAGATAAAGAGGCAGTAGATTTCTCTATCGTATCGTTTATTGCATTCCAGAGGGTTCTCTCTGGGTTTCGGAAATCAGTTGATCTTTTTCTTATTTTGCTTTTTGTGAAACATATTACAGTGAAGTTAGACTATGTAGTGTTTCTTGGTCCTCTGCTAATATCCAGAATTTGTTTTTTTAAACAAATTTAAATTGCAAGCTTGATAGAGTGCCCTCATACAACCACCAGTGGCTAAAAATAAAGTGTGTAATACAGACAACAGCAAGAGAAATACGTGGAAAACTCAGCTGCAAGGGGTGGACTCTCAGGCTCCAGGGTAGGGTGTGAACGAATATTTCTCTCTTTATTTTTGTGAACTCTATAAACAAGCCTTTTCTCTTCCAGGTTAACGGGAAAACAATTATCCCTCTTGTTTATAATTTTAACTTATTGTAACTATCTTTTTCTCCCCTGTTGAGAAGGGCGTGCCCTCAGGAGCAGTGCAGCAGTCTCAGCTCTCAGAGATGGCCCTGGGTGCAGGACTTGTGGCTTTCATGAAAATAACAAAGGGCAAGGCCAGCTGGACACCCATAAAGGTTATAGTAGATACAAGTTTTGTTGTTGGTTTTTTGTTTGTTTGTTTGTTTGTTTTTGAGACAGGGTCTCTATATAGTCCTGGCAGAGCTGGAACTCTCTATGTAGACGGGCTGGTCTTGACCTTCCCTCCCTGCCTCTGACTCCTGTGGTACTGGGATTAAAGATGAACACCATCACACCTGGCCTTTTTCTTTCATTAAAAAAAGTTTTGTTTTTAAAAATTATGTCTCTCTTGATGGGGGATGTCCTTCTGTATATATGTTTCTTTTACTGATTGATGAATAAAACACTGATTGTCTCCAGTAGCCAGGTAGGAAGTGTGGGGAGGGGGGCTACCAGACGAGGAGAATTCTGGGAGAGCCTAAAGCCAGGGAGAGAATGGGAAGATAGGATGCTGGCATTCTCTGGTAAGGTAAGGCCACATAGAAATACATAGATTAATAGTTAAGGTTAATAATTAATTAATAATTAAGAAAGAGCTAGCCAATAAGAAGCCTGAGCCAGGTGAAACCCACAGAAACAGCTGACCTGAACAACGGGGAGCTCTTGGTCCCCAGACTGATAGTTGGGAAACCAGCATGGGACTGATCCAGACCCCAGGAACCTGGGTGTCAGTGAGGAGACCTCGGAAATCTGTGGGGTCTTTTGTAGTAGATCAGTACTTATCCCTAGCATAGAAATAGACTGTAGGAGCCCATTCCACATAGAGGGATACTCCCTGAGCCAAGACACACAGGGGTGGGCTTAGGCCCCACCCCAAAGGATATGACAGACCCTGAAGACCCCCTGTGGAAGGCCCCACCCTCCCTGGGGAGCAGAAAGGGTATGTGATAGGTAGAGTTTTAGTTGGGGGGGGTTAGGGGAGGAGGGGAGGGAGAGGGAACTGGGATTGACAGGTAAAACAATCTTGTTTCTAATTCAAATAAAAAAATGGAAAAAAAGTCTGAGCCATTGGCCAAACAGTTTCAAATTAATATAAGTCTTTGTGTGTTTATTTGGGGCTGAAGGGGGGCTGGACCAGGCAGAAAGGAAACAAGGGGAACTCTCTATCTCTCTCTCTCTCTCTCTCTCTCTCTCTCTCTCTCTCTCTGTGCGTGTGTGTGTGTGTGTGTGTGTGTGTGTGTGTGCATGTGGGTGTTCACAGAAGCCAAAGATGATGGATATAGATGTTTCAGGCAGTTGTGAGTTGTCCACTGTGGGGTCTGGGAACCTAATTCACCTGGATTCCTGGTACTTAAATCTGCAAAAGCTATGAATGATCTAAGCCGGAGCTGTCTCTCGAGTCTTTATTTTGGGTTTTCAAAAGTAGACAGTAAAAAAATACCTTAATCATAAATAATTAAATGATGAGAGGATTAAATGATGGAAAGCATGTGGTATATGATAGCCTTTCTTCTTAACTTACATTTATTTTAAATGCCTTATGTAAATAGTACATAAATAGTTGGTCCTGCTTATTCTGTTGTCAGTCTTCTCAACCTAAAAGGAACATCTGAGAAATACTTAACACTATTAAGAATTTCTAAACTGCATATATTGCTTTCTACATCTTACATTTAAATTTACCATTGAGAACTGTTGGCAATATGTTATCATATGCTAAAAAAAATTCTCTCAGGACTCCTTTTTTTCTTTTTATTGAACTCTCAATTGTTTACATAAAAATACTTCACTGGCATTGAAGAAACAAATACAAATCAAATCTAATAGACATTCTTTGCTTATTTTTCTTTCCTATTTCAACTAAAAACCTCACTGTTTTCATTTTTAATTATGTATATATGTACATCTATTTGTGGATTTGTGCAGTGCCCTAGAAGATGGGGAAAGGGTTTTGGATGCCTTGCATTTGGAGTTCAGGTGATTGGGAGCTATCCAACATGGGTGCTCTAACTTTGAAGACATCTTTCCAGCCCTCTGTTGCAATTTTTGAATATTAATATTTTGTTTTGACAGTTTCATATACATATAGTATGTCACAGCTTTATAAAATGACCTCTCTAGGCCTCATTCAGGGACATCCCTGACACATGCCTGTCCTTTCAGCTTTTAGGCACTGAGGCAATTATATAGCCTGTTTCTTCTATCCTCAACTCGAAAGCCAAAACTATGTGTTCTGCTGCTTGCTGGGGCTGGAACCTGGCCTCCTCATTCAATTACATCTCACCAGTTTTTTGTTTTGCACACTTTTCTTCATATCTAACCTTGGCTATTCTTGAACTTACTCTTTACAGCAGGCTGGCCTCAAACTCAGAGATGCAACAGTCTCTGCCTTCTGAGTGCTAGAATTAAAGGTGTTCGTCACCACAAACTACTCTAAGTTTTTCTTTAATTCCTTTTCACAAGTTGGAAATTCAGCTGGATGGGATCTTTCCCTGAGGTCACCACTCCCTTTACAAAATTTCTTAATCTGTTTATCCCCTTGAACATAGGACTTAGCTCCATTCCACTTTCTGGTGCTCTTTTTCTTCTCAAATATTTTTTCTGGTTCAGCTTGCTCCTTTTCATTATAAATTTTCATCAGAGTTAACACTAATAACCACACAACAGAGTCTCTACTAGGCTGTTTGGAGATTTCCTCTGCCAACATAATTAATTCAAAATTCTTCACTTTAGCATCAAGTAGACTCTTCAGATAAGGGCAAAAGGCAGCCTCTTCATTAAGAACTTTCTCTAGGCAACATACTAAAATTCTCTGTAACCTCTTGAACAAGACCCCTACAGTTCATCAAATCACATTCAGCACCACTGTCTTCCATGCTTCTACTAGTATGGCCCACTAAGGAGCAATTAAAACATTCCACTGCTTTTCTAACCCAAAGTCTCCAAATCCATATTACTCCCAACAAAAACATGGTCAGGCCATCACTGCAATATCACAGTCCCTGATACCAACTTCTGTCTTAATTAAGGTTTCTGTTGCTCGGAAGCAACACCATGACCTTGGCAATACCTCCCCCCCACACACCGTTTCCCTGTGTAGCTTTGGAGCCTGTCCTGGCACTTGCTCTGTAGACAATG